ATTATTATTATATATGTGTGTATTTGGTTAGGTAAAAGTAGTAAAAGTAGTATTACAACAATGTAAAAATACTTAAATATGAGAGTATGGTGAGCAGTATGGACTTAAAAGTGTCCAAAGTAAAAGTTTTCTGTGTTCTATGATTTGTAAAAAAAAACAACTAATTTTAGCTGTTAAAATAAATGTAATGGAGTTAAAGGTACAATTGTTCCCTCTGAAATGTACGGGAGAAAGTAAAAAGTAAAATACAAACACTTAAGTAAAGTGCTAATACTTCAAAACAGGGAAATTAATATAAAAATTTAATTACACACCTGAAATAAAGTGTCAGATTGCTTTTCAATAATTTTGATTTTTTTTAAAACACTTTGTCCATTCATTGAACTGTTTAGTTTTATTTGGTAAACTTTATCTCCAAACATGAATCTCTTGTGTTTTTAACTTTGTAAAACTGCATTTTTAGATAATTAAAATTAAATGAGTTGGAAATTGGGTTTATTTAGCATAAGAAGTAGGGTAATTTTATCATTAAGCCATTAAGTAACACTTTATCCTCCAAAAGGTATCTAAATATCCTAAATCACCAAATTAGGAGGCAGTTGGTTTTCAATACAATTCTGGTGGGAAAATAATCAATCTTTTATTTATTCTTTATTTGTTGGACGGAGGTCCTCAGCGTCCTCAATAGTAGTTCCTCAAAAGCAGAGTACTTGAGTAGATTTACTACTTACAGGTTGTATCTTAACTGCGTCCTGCCACCCAATGTCGTTTTTGTAACATATAAAGGGAGAATGTGGTACTCCCCACTATAATGTCAACATGTTATTTTTTTTAACATGTTCAAATGTTCTCTATCTTAGTTTATTTTTCATGTGTAGTCTTAACTGCCCTAGACTTGACCCTGCCTAAAAAAAAAGGATCTGGGAAAAAAAACCCAGCAGCTGCTTTGCGTAAATGCTCTCAAAGTGGTCATTCTTCGGCCACTGAAAAAACACGAGCTCTCAGCAGCATCTTTTGTTATCTCTGCAGATGTAACTCATTGTTATTTATTGCACAATTTATCATGTTTGGTCTGTTTTCAGACTTTGATGAGCTGAATAATTCAAAAATGAATTCTTGTTTTCTTAACAAAGGCTTTCAGTGCTTGGTATGTTTTTTCAGCTGTTACACATTCTGATAAAATAACGGTTGCTTGGTCAGGCCTGTAAATCATTCCTGTTTTTTTTGTTAAACAGTAGTAATCAGAACCTCATTAGGTTTTTCTGACAATTTTGTGCAAATTGGATTGTCAAATGTATAAATAGAAAAGTCTCTCTGAGAGTGGAGCTGTGCTTTTTTTTAATCAAACAACCAGCAGATAGATAGATATGAACCTGATTATCTGTACTTGTTCAACAGTGTAGTTTAAAAATCACACAACCTCTTAAAACACAATGCAAACATTTTTTTTATGTTATGTTAAGATGGCTCACACGGAGTGGCCACAAATATAACAGTCGTTATTAAACTTTTCCTTCACACAGATGTTCCTCTGTGATTTTAAGCAACAATAGTAAAGCAATGTCAAGGAGGCAAAGCAATTGGTTGTCTGAACAAGTTTCCTACTATGACTGTTTATGTCTGCTGTGCTGTAGCTCATGAATGATGGCTTCACTTGTTTTCAGGAGGGAGGCTCAGCTTGATATCGAGGGTCAGTTCCTGGTTAGAATCATATATGAAGATGCCAAAACATATGATCTTGTTGCTGCTGCAAGTAAAGTTCTCAGTGAGTAACAGCATGTTTTTTCTTTAATTATTCAAATAAAAACGACAGTATATGTAATGTATGATAAAAAATGGTGCAATGAAATAATTTGTATCACAAGCTGAGATGCTGATGAGATCCTTCCTGTATTTCAGAGATTGATGCGGGAGACATCTTGCAGTTGTTTGGGAAGATGTTTTTTGAATTTTGCCAAGAGTCGGGATACGACACCATCTTGCGAGTGTTAGGATCGAATGTTCGTGAATTCCTGCAGGTAGGCTCTCTCTCGTCTTGTCGCGTTAGCAGAGTTGCATGGTAATACTAATGTTTCTAAAAAGGCATTGCTTAAAGGAATACAATGAATTGCAATGCTCAGCCAGTGAAAACAATTGTACAGTGTCTTCTGTGGCTCTGGAGGAACGTTGTCAAGTCTGACAAAATAACCTCTGATTATGTCCTAGTGGTGTCACTTTGGGCTTAGGACTGGATTTTTCACAGAAAGCCTGATTCAGTAACTGGGTGTAGAGTTTGAGAGACTTGAGTATTTACTGGGAAGGGAGGGTCTAATGAAAGATGCTTGTGCTACATTATAGGAATTGTAAGATGCAGCATTTTTGGAACTTTACATACTCAGGACTAAAAGCAAGCCCCCTGTTTTTATAGATGTGCAATGCTAAAGAGCTGGAAGACCTATTTGAGGTCTCATGTATAATGCACAGCATCGTCACCTAACTCATTATACCTCTGCCAGGTTTTAATTAACTGTGCTGTGATTGAATGTTGCATATTTCATGGTTAATCGTGATTTTCAGAACTTGGATGCTCTACATGACCACCTGGGTACCATTTATCCTGGAATGAGGGCTCCCTCGTTCCGCTGCACCGATGCAGAGAAGGGGAACAATCTGATTCTTCATTACTACTCAGAGAGAGAAGGCCTGCAAGACATTGTGATTGGCATCATTAAAACCGTCGCTCAACAAATCCATGGAACAGAGATAGAAATGAAGGTCTGCTTTGCTGTTGTTGTTCCTTTTTGTGTGCACACTGAACCCACAGCTCTAATGGCTCACTCTACTACTGATGATGAATGAAGATGACTTCACATTTTTCCCTGTTCCTCTCTAATGTATTCTATTTAACAATTATTTAAGCCTTTTAGTAGTACTGTAGTGTTTTGAGTCAGAATGTGTGCGTTTGTGTCTGAGAATATAATTGAAGAGGTTATAATGTGAAGATTAAACAACAGAAAGTTCCAAAATACCCAAACCGGAACAGTGCTGCGCTGTGACATCTGCAGTTCAGCAGTGAGTTTTTGGCTAATGTCTGTGAGTCAGAGGATATTTTTAGATCTAAGTTACAGAGTCTCTAGCTTTGGGAGTCTGTCAGGGAGGTTTTTTTCTTCCACGGTTTTATTTTGACTTTGTCAAACTATGGTTGAATTCAAATTGGCCATTGACTTCATCCTGAGGAGAGATCCTTTTTTTTCCTAGGCTCATTTACTCGACCGCACTAATCAGATTTTGTCTAAAGTAGTATGAATAACTCAATATCATAAACTGTCATTGGCATTTTTATTTGTATGTAAATGTGCAGCCCACAGTTCATAGCCTGTAATCTGCACCAACAACTGCGGCATGTTATTTTCTGAAGCCTATCCCTTGTACTTTGGCTGGAGTTTCCTCTTTGTTTCATAAGCAAGTGACATTTTCTCCCGAACCTAATCATATTGTACAGACAGGACAATATTTTTCAGCAATTGTGTGTGTAATGAAAGAACAGAAAATGGCAGACGCTCCAAATGTGACACCCAATTTCTGGAAATATTAGCCACTGTTGCTGTGGCAACAGGGTGCAGAGACAGCAGCTTGACGTCAGCAAGCCTTATGCCCATAAACCCACTGAATAATGTCATTTTACACTGTCTTAATTCCATAATAAGAGACTCGAGGTCAATAACATTGTCAATGGGATAATATTAATTACCAATTGCATTGGTGAAATATTTAATTAAAAAAATATTGGTATAATAACCATGTGCCACACCCTATAGGCAAGTTTAACTTCACTATGTCAGATTTGCAACAATAACATTAAAGTTCGATTATTGATTATTTAACGTCATTTGATGCAGATGATCCAACCGAAAAGCGAGGAGTGCGACCACATCAAGTTTCTGATTGAGGAGAAGGACTCGGAGGAAGAGGCTTTCTACGAGGACCTGGATGGTTTCGAGGAGAACGGCACACAGGAGACTCGGATCAGCCCATACACGTTTTGCAAGGCCTTTCCATTCCACCTCATGTTCGACAAAGACCTGATGCTCACACAGTGTGGGAACGCCATTTATCGAGTCCTGCCTCAGGTGTGGATTTTGTATGTGAAAGTTTTCTGTTTTGCTGTTTATTTGCAGCAAAGTCAGCACTTTATTATGCTTTATTAGGACTTTGTCTCAAATTTGGACTTGAAACAGATACAAGCTAGACTTTTTGAATGCTCAGAATGCAGTAGTAATTAATTACATAGATAAAACAATAATTTCTAATCTCATGTCACTGAAATATATATATTTTATGTTATTCCCCAGCTCCAGCCCGGTACCTGTATCCTCCCTTCAGTTTTTTCTTTGGTCCGTCCTCATATTGACTTCAGTTTTCATGGCATCCTCTCCCACATCAATACCGTCTTCGTTCTGCGAAGCAAGGTAGATATGACATCAAATGTAGTTTTTGTCACATCATGGATTAATCACATCAACATTTTTCTTATATTGGCATACCTTTGCAGGAGGCAAAAACAGGCACACACTTAAGATTAAATTATCAAAACATGGTTTAATTTGTATTTGACAGAATGTGCTTATATATTAATATTGATGAGCTCACTGATATTCTTAGCAGATATATAACATTAAGACTCTGTGTGTTTCATCAACACTGTAAATGAGGATGAAACTGTTTACATACAGAGATCACTGATCATGTAAACAATAAATCAATTTAAGAAACAAGGGTCTAAATGACCTGAAGAAAAAAAATAATGCTAGATAATTCTGGAAGAATTATTCTCTTGGAGAATTTAGAAACTGTGAAGAATGACAGTCTAGAAATGTTAAGCTATTTTACCAAGAAGCAAAGATTTCAGTGATAAAATCAAATGGCAACTCAGGAGGGAAGACTGGAGTAAGAATAGAAAACAGTTCAATTTGCATACTTGTATGTAGTTATGAGACACTAGATGCTTAGGTGTTAAAATACTAGTGCCTTGAAAATGTATTAAAGTAAATTGTACTCATTGTAAAGAGCGCTGCCACTCCTGGGATGCCATTTAGGAATGATGATGATGATGATGATGATGATGCAAGAAAAGATATTCTCTCCAATAGTGGATTATACATGTAACACTTTGCAAAAAAACAAAATAAAGAGTCAGCTGAACTGGTGCCCAGTTTTGAAGCAGATTTAGAGAAGAACATATAATGAAATATTCATAAGTGTGATGTAATCCTGACAGGAGGGCCTGCTGAATGTGGAGACTGTAGAGAACGAAGATGAGCTGACGGGGGTGGAGATCAGCTGTCTGAGATTGAAAGGCCAGATGATTTACTTGCCAGAGGCAGAGAACATCCTTTTTCTTTGCTCACCCAGGTAAACACATAGTGCAGTCTGTCCTGACTGAAGCACAGACTGAATACACACAAACACCAAAACACAGATTGTCTTTTACCCACTGAGTCGGAACACATCAGTTTCTGGATAAAAGATAAAAGTCCTGGAATTCAAAATTCCAAGGTGTTAATTGGTTTTGATGAATGATGATGCCATTGCTGCATACTGAAATAAAAACCCACTGTGTACATAAACCATAACTTAGAGAAAATTTGTTTTTACCATTTGCTACAGTTTTTGTTTTTGTTTACTGTTTCCTCTGTACAACTATAATGATAATATTCAGTAAGGTTGCAAGCGGGAAGATTAACTACAGTGTGTTAGTCCTCAGTACTTTTTTATTCCCTACTGTGCTTGTAATGTTCTTTTCTGCTGAAGACCTAAATCTTAAAAAAATGTGACACAAACACATTCTTTAATTATTGCTGTACTTTTTAGTAAATGTCAAATAGTTTTTTGACAGCAGTGGATTATGGTCTTTGGCAGATACTGTAGTTCAAGGATCCTTGATATACACTATAGTGAGTGTGTGATAAATTTACACCATTGGCTGGTCGAGTGTTGGAGCTTCTCACTGGCCGTTACTCTCAGCTCCCAAAAACTGATTTTTTTCCCCAGCTAGTTGAAGGAACCAGTGGAGCCCACAGCTAAGAGGGCTTTGCCTATATACAAGCTGAAATTACAGTATGTCACTAACGTTCTGTTTCATACAGGCTTCTCCTTCCAAGACTGTTGGTACCCACAAGCACAAAGAAATCAATATTCACTCAATACATCGCCAATGCGTCACAGCAAATCACAGTACCTGATATTCACCATGAGGGAATGAAACTAGAAAATAAGATAAAACCTTCTGAGAGACAGTGGTTATGTGCTGTAATGGTCCAGCATAGAGCAGAGTAGGACAGAAAACAGCTCTCCATGTGCCCAGAGGCATGACGAAGAGCATACAGTTAAAGCACCCCAAATAACAATCTCTCTGACTAAACACTCAATATAGAGTGAGTCATAGAAAAACGAGAGACATCCCGCAGATAGACACAAATGAAAGAGCAGGGGGAGTTCATAGATACATAATTAAGAGTAGTTATAATAAGAGTTCAAATAAGTTCTCTTTCAAATCAATTATTATACAATTTGAGTGGAAAGTATTTTTTTACAACTCCATTTATATCCAGGAATTCACTTTATAGACACTACTACCACTGGCCATACAAGATCCAGCTATATAGTAGGCTTTCACCTAGCCTCTAGTTCATACTTGCAGTGTTCTCTCTCCATGTAAATGTTAAACTGCAGTTAATGATAAAATAAAATAATATAAAATATTGCTGAATAATATTTTTCTGGTTTACTTGCAATTTAACTATGTTCATAATCTCTATAAGGGCAATATAATTGTGTATTTCATGCAGTCACAAAGTCAAATAAGCAATTAACTAGTTAGCTCAAATGTATTTTTGCTTTTATGCTGTCTGTATGAACATGTATAGGTACATGGTCAGAGAAAAGAAAACACAGATAAACAAAGAAACGTGAGCTGGTAATTACATTGGTTCTTCTGTTGTGACCTCCATTAGCCTCTGTGGCCCTTTAATAACCAGTGTGAAATATTGGATACATGAGAGCAGAGTCTAAGAGATCTTGTCCTCACAGATTGAAGACACTTTGCAGAGGGCAAGATCAGTGTTTTTATAAAAGGTTGCTGCCAAACAGGAAATAACAGGGGCTGAAACAGGGAGGCATGAAGAGAAGTCTCATACAACACAGTGTCTGACCTCACCCCACAAGTGGAACATTTATCTGGAGACAGTAGGCTGAGTCTTAAAAGGACAATGGTGATCTCATTGCCGATGGTTCATGCTTTATGTTCTGTTTAATTTACACTGATTGCTTTGCAAGACCAAGAAAAAAGTCGTCAGTTTTCCTTCTACCCACAGACACTGTAACACCAACAATAACCAATAAGTATCTCACTGTTTTCTCCTTTCTCTCTGTTTTTCTAGTGTTATGAACCTGGACGATCTCACACGAAGGGGACTGTACCTGAGTGACATCCCACTACATGATGCTACTCGTGACCTGGTGCTGCTAGGTGAGCAGTTTCGTGAGGAGTACAAGCTGACCCAAGAGCTGGAAATCTTGACAGATCGTCTGCAGCACACACTCCGGGCCCTGGAGGACGAGAAGAAAAAGACAGACAGGTATTACCATTTTTCCAGATATGTTTCTCTAGTTGTTCATTTAAAAAGCTTGTATAAACTTGTAGCTTTAGCTTTAATGGGTTGCGAACCCTAAACTTGTGACAATAACAGTAGAGGAATTATAACCACACATTAATGCAATGTAATGTAATTTAAATAGGTTAAGAAATGCTAGATATTTATTTTGACCTCAGCTATGGAAGACTAAAGATAGATGGAAGACTCAATCTATGCCTTTTATACAATTGCTAATATGTAGGGTATGTCAAAAGTGAGCCCTTAAAGTCAGTGGTTCCCAGCCAGGTAAAGTCAACTTGCTAACCCTCATCAAAGTTGTTTAGACTGAATATATTTAGAGGCCTAATGAGGTAAAACTACAGATTATTTGCATCGTAAAAAGCATACATCAGAGAAATGTCAAGTACCAGAACTATATATACAGTATATTTTATTTAAAGAGCATCTTCATTTACAAATTTAGCTGCTTTTACAAACATTTCCCTTTAGTAAGTTATTGCGAAAGATTCAGTCATAATTGAGTATAATTATGTAGCACAGCCCTATAATAACACTACTGTTATTCTTGTTTCATCGTCCTTTGTTGGAAAAATAAGTGGTAAAGACTGTTCATTAGTACGTCTTTCAGTGAGATTAAAAGACTAGTCTCTTAAAGTGTTCCCTTTTAAGGATGGACTGGAAAGAAACACTGAAGACAGAGCAGGACACAACAGGTCTCAGTCCTATATAGTTATAGTGAGGCTACCTGACAGTAGGACCACCAAAGGTCAGAATCTATTGTTATACCCAAGTTGATATTTGCCTAAGGTACTTTTCCCTGGTAAGTGAGGACAGTTGGTTTTGACTCTAGCTTTCAGAATAGGGGCTGTCATAGTAATTTGGCACAGCAGTGGGTGACAGCTGGAGAGGAGCACGGAGGTGGAGCGTGGTCTTTATTAAGATTGCTGTAGAGGCCCTTTCTTCTCATAGGAAAAGGCTTTCACTTTGCTGGTGGATCACCATATTGTTATTCTCACCGTTCTCCAGTCTTGTAGTGCCTCAGGCTCCGAACATTGATTAGAATTCATGGCCTAAATATTTAAGAGAACTGCTGCCGCACTCTGCTTTTTCAGAACTTTACAACAGTATGTTTTCTGATAATGAAAACATACATTCATGCTGTTTTAGGTGCTGTATAGGTGTGCACCTTGCTAAGAGAAAAACACTCAATCTAACATCATTGTTAAGGATGTTACAGATAAATATGTATGGTGTCGTCTCCACAGTAAATATACTCTTATTTGTATATAGATAGATAGATTTTTGCGTTCTGTATGTATCATGTGTCCTCAATTTATGATGCATCGTGGAAGGTATTTTGCTTTTAACAGGCAGCCATGATCTAACCAGTTACCATAGAAACACCACCCTCCCATCTGAGAGCAGCTTGCATAGCAAAATGGCCAAAAGGTGGTGGGTGAGCAAATAAAATGCTGATCCAAAGGATGGACTTCAGTCTGGCAGCCCCAGCCCATTACTCTTCTTCTCAAGTACTCCAATAACTACACTTTGGTTCAAAATGTTCATTTCTTTTCCTCCCTTCAGATTGCTCTATTCCGTTCTGCCGCCATCTGTCGCCAACGAGCTGCGACACAAACGGCCTGTCCCAGCAAAGCGCTATGACAACTTGACTATCCTCTTCAGTGGCATTGTAGGATTCAATGTCTTTTGCAGCAAGCACGCCTCGGCCGAGGGAGCCATCAAGATAGTCAACCTGCTCAATGATGTTTACACACGCTTTGACATCTTGACAGACTCTCGGAATAACCCCTATGTATACAAGGTCGGAAGCAAGAATTTTACCATGACAGTACATGATGCCTGTGTGTACATTTCTCTCAGTAAACGAAAAAAAAAGAGAAGGATTTGTGCAGCAAACTGATAAAGTCTGCAATCTAAAATTAAGAATTTGAGTGCTTTTAACTACTATGTTCTTTGCTGTTTTTTTTTTTTTTAGCTTGAATGCACTAGTGAAGCACACCAAGTGTGTTACACAATTACGCACGTACAAGTCAGTAAGAGAGTATTTATATCAGTTGACTTGAGTTTTTCACCATAAGAAGCGCAGTACTAACTTCTAAACACAGTGTAGTTTTACAGAAGGACTGCACCACTTTATAGGCCTCGTGGAGCAGATTTACACTCCAGGCTTTCAGACAAGAATGCACTTTAAGAAGTCAAACAGACCTTGGCACTTCCAATGGATCGGCTTCAGGCACTGGGTCACCAAAAGAAGTAATATTTACTCTACAAGCTGAATGGCTAGGTGGTCCTAGGGTTTTAGCAGGGCTCAAAGAGGCCCTGGATGTCTTAAAGGTGATGTAAGTGTTTAAGTGTTTATTTCAGGGTGTTTCAGTTTATTTCTAGCTGCACAGTGCATTAGAAAAACCCCTTTGTAGCACAGTAGGAGCAGATGATTTTGGTTGAGCCAAAAAGCAAACTCGGTTGTGATATAGTTTCTATAGAATGACAAAATGCTTTTCTTTATACAGGTGGAAACAGTGGGTGATAAGTACATGACAGTGAGCGGCCTACCAGAGCCGTGCATACACCATGCAAAGTCAATCTGCCACCTCGCTCTTGATATGCTGGAGATTGCTGGACAAGTCAAAGTGGATGATGAACCAGTACAGGTGTGATAAGATTATTAGGGTTCAAAAATGTCTGTATTTTACGGCTTTCTACTCATTAGCGTTATTTGTAATCATTGTACCTCTGCTAAGCTACACTGAGCCCACACCAAATGAGTTTTATTTTTAGCATATTATATTTTTTACTAAATATAAGGGTGACAACAGTCTATCACTCCACACTTTTTGGAATGAGTGAAGCTGCATGGAAAACACAGTTATCGTAGTGATGTACTTAATAGATAAATTACAAACATTTGCTGTGAACATAATTTCATTTTTAATGAACTATCATCAAGTGTAAAAGTTTAATGTTTGAGCATTAAAGATAATATCGTAGACTGAGATAATTATGGCCACAAAAACTTCACAATTACATTTTTTACATTGGTAATGTTCTCTCTCTCTGTGTGTGTGTGTGTGTGTGAATGCAAATTAGCAGTATTTCTTGATTTTTCCAACCCTGGTGTACATTACATGTCTTTGTATATATCTTTTTTTTTCCTTAGCAAGGCATCTGTTATTTTGGCACAGATCATTTAGGCATTTTGAAGTTGTTAGCTTTCTGATATTGCTTTGAAAGTGAATATATAAAAACAGTACTGAGAGTCAGGCTGAGAAATACTGCCAACTATGTTTCAGCCTAATATGACCAACACTTTACCCTCAAGGATTTTTTGCTTATCGATTTTACAATAATAATATCTGTGCATCTGGACATATTTCCACGCTGAGGTAATAAGCAGTGATATGTTGGATAAAAAACAGCAGACTTTTGTTTAACTGACTGTTGGAGATTGTTATTGTATCAATGACTGTTGAGACTTAACTTCGGAAAATGATGTCTGGTTAACAAAAGGCTGTTTATTTTTGGACATGGCACTGGCTGAAGAGGAGTCCGGTTTAGTAGCAGAAACAGACTCAAATCATCTCACGATCCTGTGTCTAAAAATAGATTCTCATTTGTCCCAGACACTCACGGCGTGTTCATGCTCTGAAGACAGCAAGCACTGAAGTGCCTACAAGTTCAAGTGTAAATATTAGTCTGTAGATTGCCTGGGGCTACTTTTGGAATTTCTAGTTTATTGCAAACCTGACAAAAAAATCTAATTTTGTGCATGGAGTGCTTTCTGGCAAAGTGAACCTTATATCCACCCACCAAATGTTGCACCTTTTCAGTTGATAGCTTTAAGAATTTGTGCCAACAGACTAAGAGAGGCATTCAGCTGGATAGTTGCTTGCAGTTTTTTTTTTCTCTCTCTCTGTGGAGCACAAATCATTAGTCCTTGATTTAACATTTACACAGATTTATCCAAATGCTGAGATAGTTTTTCTCACACTGGTACTGCACATTTTTTGTGGGTTTAGTTTTGAAGTAGATAAATCACGTGTGTCATGTGCTGCTTTAAGTAATGAATTTACCACAGATAAGTAATGGTCAGTGCTGTGGATATCTTATAATACATATTTAAGGTATGTTTTGCCAGTATTTGACAAGAAATAGGGAGTTATTTGGCATATCTATCAACTTTTCTTAATTCATAACTGACAGGTTCCTCTCCTTTCTTTCCAGATCACTATTGGGATCCACACAGGAGAAGTGGTGACTGGCGTGATTGGCCAGAGGATGCCCAGATATTGCCTTTTTGGAAATACGGTCAACCTCACAAGTCGTACAGAAACTACTGGTGAAAAGGGAAAAATAAATGTCTCAGAATATACCTACCGGTAAGAAGAAGAAACATTCTTATTTCATATAATTTTTTCATATATTTTTGTTTCTCTTTAATTCGTGGGAAGTCACATTTGTAGAGAAATCAAGTGAGTTTGTACGAGCTTTGCAACTAGGTTAAACAGTATTAAAAGTGATCTTTACTTTGTTAAGAAAATACCAGTATTAGACATGAAAGACCCGTTGGAATCTATTTCAAACATAAACCAGTAGGTGTGTTGTTTTGGTCAGTAGATTTGATTTTGAGTAAAAAATGTTAACATCAGGTTAGTGAAAATAAGATTCCCCAGGATTGCCCAGCGCGAGTGATTTATGAAGGTGTTGACGTTGTATTCCAGGTGTTTGCAGTCTGCTGAGAATGCTGACCCTCAGTTTAATTTGGAGTATCGGGGTCCCATCACCATGAAAGGAAAGAAGGAACCAATGAAGGTTTGGTTTCTGTCCAGGAAGCCCACTGACACAGAATCCACCACAGTTAAAGCTTAACAATTCAGATTTAACACTAAAACACCACAAGTGTTGTCTAACAGAAGCTTTAGTATGGTACTGTCTAATCAGACATTTCTCTATAATTACACACATTTTGAGGCAGGGATGAGAGGCAGTAAAATAAAAAATGATCCATCCACACACAAACAGATATTTTTAATATGATAAACAGCTGTTTCAAAGTGAATTTGAACCTGTACCGTTGCTCTCTCTGCTTGTTTCTGCTTGATCATGATCTGTCATGACCTCACAATATTTTTTTAGCGTAGTCACAATAGTGAAGTGTTTCATGAATAGTAGACGTTAGTGACGCAGTATATGGTACATTAAAGTTTGATACATTTTTGGACAAAATATTCTCACAGTGTAATTGTACATAATATTACTAGAGGTTTTGATAAGCAAAACATTTCCCATATATGGTAAATGTTTTTAGATGCTAATTTTGTCATAAACTATATATGTTCTGAAGCCAGCCAGAAATACTGAGAATTTATAGACTTTACTCTGTAAGCTCAAATAACTTATTCTACTTAATAGAATATGTTTTAACCATTGCCATTTTCACTTTTAAGAGTATTAATGATAGAATTTAGATTTAAAATGAAAGACTTGAGTGTAGTAAAAACAGATCCTATAGTTTTATGTGTTCGTGCCATTACATTACTGACACTAATTGAGGGACCCATTTTTGGTTGATTGGATGTGAGAGTCATGACGTTTTACACTGAATATGCTACACTGGCATCAGTATGATTAAAATAAATTCAAATTTAGATATTATAGCTGTTGTATTTATATATATCACCATGTTCACAAGTTTATTTGGCACAAAAGTTTCATTAGATTCATATATTGTCATGTTCAGTATTTTTTTCGTCACAAATAATACATGTTGAGCCATTATTAAACCTGTACCATCATGTATCTATCACTAAATTATTAAAACAGATAAGATAATTTAAAACAAGCACTATACACTACTTTATTTAATATATTTATTACACATCTCTACGTATCGCACATTCCACTTTTTGAGTACTATTTTCAGTTCTACTAAATGTTGTTCGAGATATACTTAATGATCTACTGGTACATATTTATTGTTAACATTATATTATTTGGTATTTATTCCTTTTTCATGATAAAATGTAATTATGACCTTTAAAAAACAGAATATACAGTGACAAAAGACAAGAAAAAAATAAACTTAAATATGGATAAAAGTACTGTTTGTGCCTCTATAAATTACATTATGTGCTGTATGTGTTTGATTAATTTCACATGAGTAAATGTACCACACTGTTTTCACCCTATGTCGTTATTATTAAACTTCACATAATGTCCTCCATGCAGCTTCCTGTGCTTCAAAGACATGATTGTTTTATTTGAACAATGTTTCTGAATGGAGGTAACTGATAAAATAATCTTGAGAAGTGTTGGTTACTTAATATTTCCTTTGCTACAGTGTGGCTCTTCCTAAGACTATATATTTACAGTAATACTTAGGACAGTGTTGTAATACAGATCAGACACATCAGTGTACCTCTTTGATAATATACAGCAGATTATTTTGTAAAAGAGCTCTCTCTAGTGGCCAGTCAGAAGATTACAACCCCAGGGACAAACATCCATATATTTGTCTTCATCATATCACTGCATTTCTGAAATGCCTGCTGCTGCTACAGTGGGGTTAAAACAAGGTGGGTGCAGACTTGCAGTAGTTATGTGAGATGATTATTTCATGCTAATAAGAGAGAGGTGGTATTGGGCCTCATGCAAGAAACAATATATGAATAAAGTTTCTCATTTTTGTTCGTGTCCATGATTTGGTCTTATTTTTTAGTACCCGTTGATTCCTGGGAGTCACCAATTGACAGATTCACCAATGTGTTCTCATTTTTGCTCTTCCATTCATTTTCAATGGTCGAGGGCACTCTTGCCAAGATAAGAACAAAACAGCTGGTTTTCACAGTCCTCAAATTGTTTGTCCAACACAAAGAAACAGGTTTTAAATATGAGGAAAATAAAAAAGCTAGATTAGATTATGATTACATGATTACATATGTATCATCAATATATTAATACTTATACTAATATTGTGTTTTTACTTAAACTCTTTGAGCTATTCATTCATTTATTTGTTTTTCTATTGATATTTTTCAATATTTATATTATATTATGTATATATATATTCTATTCTTTTTTGGTGGCATCTCTCCAATTCTTTAAAGTATTTAAAGTGGAAGTACCTCCTCAGCTTCTTGTCTGCAGTCCCCATTAATAAATTGCCTGTTGCATTGTTACTGTATAAAAACTTCCATCTGGGGGCTTTTTCTTCTACTTTGAATCTCATGAAGACCTGCACTAGTTGAAACCAGATATTTCTTTGAATGATTCATGAACAAACCATCCATATAGTCTTACATTTTTCATTTTACATTACATTACATATTGCTCTTATGAGGAGTGCCTAAAGACTTGAATAAGAAAAGGGTAGCTTAAGGCGCTAAACTCAATTAGATATTCAGCTTCACTCATCTTTTTATTTATATTTGTTTTCCCTTTTTATCTCATAGTTGTGATTTTACAGACAAACATTAAAACCGCCGTTGGCAACCGCTTTCAAGGGGAAATTGGATAAGTTAACCGTAAGCTAGCATAACTAGCTGCTAGCCCCAGTTTGTGCCCACAGAGGTAGCTAGCTTAACATCAGTGTCTCTGATGAGGTCGTTCAAAAAATACTTGTCTATACATCTAATTGAAAATATATTCCTTCAGCTGAGTGATTGAGAAAATTACTTTTTCCATTTCTTAAGTTGCCTTACTACCACTAGCGTTCCCTGTGTCTGTATTAAAGATGGCAGCCCAACGGTTGCCCGGAGTGGAAATACATAAGGGACTAATTAGCTGCTTAGCACTGTTAAATGGCTATGGGCAAAGTTGGCAAGTGGCTAGGGAAAAAACTTGAACGTCTAGCAGATAAAAACCCACATATTTTTCTCAGAAGTTAGTGAGACAACCAGAAATGAAAGGAGACTCAGATATTTAGTTAATTGGACTTAACCTACATTCATCAGATTGGCAGAAACAGACTCCAAATTACACCATGTGTGCTGGATGTACAACCTTTTAAAAGACTTATGTTAACAGCAACTTCAGCGAGTGGCTGGTGAAGAAGATGGACATCTAGCAAAAAGCCAAGACTTGGAGATTAAATCAAGAGCTCCAAAACGACTGAATGTTGGGAGTAAATTTATGAGACGGCCACCTACATGCTAGGTTAAGGAGAACAGCTTTGGTGATGACTTTTTCACACAGCAGGCATTTTAAGGTGTAATACTGGGAAAACCGCAGGTGTTATTGATGGCTGCAGTCCATGGGTACAATATACAATATCCAGTGTGCTGCTATTGTGCATGGTGACCTATTCAAGCACATAAATGGAGTGGAAACTTTGATGATGCTATTGATTACACCTGTATTCCTGCTATGATAAGTGAACATGTCAGCTGTGTCGGCTTCCACCTAGTGGTTAAAGGACAATGCTGTAAAAGATTGTAATATTGCAAAACCAATTTATTATTAACTCTTTAAATATCCATGCCAGTTTTCTTAAGACCTATGCTCTCTCAGGCTGTGCCCAAGGTGGCACGTAAAAATCAACTCTGACATTTAAACCAGAGCCTGGCTATGAAGAGCTTTGAATATAACTCAATAAAACCTTACAATTCATCTTAGAACAAATAGGTTGCCAGTGTAGCCATGCTAAAAAGCAGAGTAATATGTTCTTAATTCAACCTTGCTCAAGAGCCCCTCAGTGTTGGTGATGAGGGTGGAAGAAGCACCGCTCTTTAAGCTGCCCCATCCAGATTTATCCTGCCAGTTCAAAACCAACGACCATCTGGTCACAAGCTTGCTTTTAACCTTATAACCCAAGAACTCTTATGCTTGCATCGATGTTGCAAAGAAATGTTCACAGTTTATAAAGTGTTGGATCCACAGGGTGTGCCATCTTTCTTAGAAATGTAGCACTGACTAAAACAGAATTCGAGTCCCTGCCCCTCTTTTTATACATGTTGTAACTTTGCATGTTCCGCTACATCTTTAGGAGAGAACTAGGAGATAACATTGTGGGATGTAATTGTGTTAAAGATAAGCTTCAACAGGTTTTAATCAAGTATGTCTTAAGCACATCTGTCAATTTTATCACTGTACTCATAGTAGAAAGGTCTTAAATGTGATAAGAGGCAGATTCACTGAGGGGGAAGTGAAGGTCAGGCAAAGGTCTCTGGTGCCACATAGTAAGATGAGATGAAACTCCGATAAGAAAGAGAAGTGATTGTTGTGCATGTTTTATTCATCCCTTTGTGAGACATGGGTGGGGATATTTAAGTCTAACATTTTCCTGTGCCTTTTTGGCAGCTTTCCACTCTGCCTGTTTAAGAGAAATACTTGTATTGACACTCCATTAAGTTTGTAGTTTAGTAAACTGTGTCTACATCAATATGTTGTCCTTGATAGACAATACATATATTGTATTGTGCATATAATACATGCACAATACACTTTCTCCAACACCCAAACTCAAAAACACTGACACCCAACAAAGAAACATTTTCTCATTCACTTAAGGTCTGTGTTTAACTTGACAGACTATAAAACACATCACAATCAGTTGAGTGTATCTTAATGATACACAGTGAATATGAAATAATGATAGTGTACACTAGTGTTTGTTTAATATTAACCACAGATATCAAAGGTCTCGTTTATCAACAATGGCCTGATTAAGGTTAAAGGTATCATTGGAAACACATTATCAACTGATCAAACTGATCACCGCTGCATTTGTACAAAGCGGGTACATGTATTGCAGTAATATCTCTTGGCTCATTTACAAGAGGTTTAGCAAAGTTACATTTGGCACAGTCACATTTAAAGTTGTGCAAACTTTTTTTTTTGTCTTAGCTTGAGGGACAGGGACCAAAATAGGCATTAAAAACATGATTGTGTTTCAAGTTCAATTTGAAAATATAACTTATATATATATATATATTTTTAGTAGTATTAAATGCTGCATGCAATTAGTGCTGTTCTGCACTGAATGAAGTTACAATGTTTGAGCTTTGACCGACACCCTTTGTAAACAGAGATACAGGTACAACAGGAACTAAAGAGAATACAGTCTCATAAGGCTTGGTTTATTGCGTATGGCACGGTTCTGTTCAGAACCACGACACTGACCAATCAGCTGCAGCTGTGGATGTTGCCTTGAAAAAATGTGAGCTTTAAACGGCCACATCAGCATTCAGATGGATGATGAGATAAGAGGGTGCTTGGTTTAAAAGGAGCGGTAGACTTTGAGTCAGACACTCCTATTTTTCAGAGTCTTTCAGTTCACCCTCACAGCCACCATGACCTTCAACGGCAACTGGAAAATCGATCGCAATGATAACTATGAGAAATTCATGGAGCAAATGGGTGAGTGATGTCAAACTGCCAATGAAATGCCAAAGACTGTGTAGCATATATTTCTTTTTTAGATATGATACATATAATTTGTTGCATCGATAGAAAAATCAGTGTGTGTCTAATTGCCATGTCTATTCTATGGGTAATAAAATGACATAAGACCTGATAAGGCAGTTCATAAAGCACTGATGAAGTGCAGCAGGTCAGTCAGTATGTCATATTTAATGATATTTATAGTTAAAGATTGTTTAAGTAAAAATGTCAGCAAACTGATAAACATGCAAATGTTAGTTCATCCAATATATGAGCTTTTTTTTTAAATGTGTGCAATCATACTTTAATTTATAAGATGGTAGTCTAAGTCTTTAAACACTTGAATGGAAGAATTAACCAAATACTGGAGCTACGGTCTGATTTGAAAACACTTGACAGCACAATGACCTACTGTACATGTCTGCGATTTGACTTTTGTACCTACTTACCCTCTGCAAATACCCGCAGGGACCTGTACTTGAAAAGTGATTAAATCCTGACAAACTTCCTCTGATTGTTCGAAGTTCTATTGAACATTTTCCATGTGTCTGCTGATAGGAATTAACATGGTGAAGAGGAAGCTGGCTGCTCATGACAACCTCAAGATAACCATTGAACAGAGTGGAGAAACCTTTCACGTCAAAGAGAGCAGTAATTTCCGCACCGTGGAAATAGACTTCACCCTGGGAGTCACTTTTGAGTACAGCCTTGCAGATGGAACAGAACTATCAGTAAGCAAAAGTGGCATCTATTGGGGCACCTTTTTCCATTGTCGCATGTTATAAACACTCAGGAACTGACCTAATCTAATTTGTTAGTTGTGTGTACTTTAAAAGGGGCAGGATATTTAAATTTCTTTAGACTTTGAATCTATGGGCTGCAGGAAAGAGTTCATTTGCTAGCTAAGAAAACAATCCAAACATCAAGGCTTGACTTTTATTGCGGTAACCGTTGTGCCTTGTTGATTTCAACTCTCTACCCCAGACATTCGCAGCCATAAAACTGTTAACCAGCACTTCTGCAAAACCTTTTCCACATAGTATTCATAACATGATAAGATTTCCTGTTTTACTCCGCAGGGCTCATGGACAATGGAGGGAGATCTGTTGAAGGGGGTTTTCAATAGGAAGGACAATGGAAAGAAACTGACTACAACCAGAATCGTCCAAGGAGATGAACTTATACAGGTAGGGCTAAATTTGTATCTATGCAAATTAGGGCACAAAAAATACCCATTTTGTATGAAACACTTATGAGATTAGGGTTATAAAGGTTTGATATTCCAACTGCGAGTCTCTTTGTATGAGTGTATATACACAAGTCAAAAAAATGTCTGTTTAAATTTGTTAGTATGTAAACCCTCTTGATAATTAAGCCACATGCAAAAACTGTTGTGTTATGTAATAACTGTATCTGACATAATCTTTTACCAACAGAGCTACAACTACGAAGGTGTGGACGCAAAGAGGATTTTTAAGAAGTGTTAGACCAAACTGATCACCAGAACTCGGTAACCAAAGTGAGATGTTTGACTTCAGGATTACATACAGTATTCTGTTTCTGAATTATCAACTACATATTTTAATATAACCTTTAAAAAGTGCACTCCTTGTAATGTCTGTACAGTCTATGAAACAGTTTTGAATTGCACAGGATTTTGATACTTGCAGTAATAAAACCATACTGTAACCGCCTGTTTTCTGTGATTTTTTTTTAGTATTGAATCTGTGGAGGTTTGTGTAAAGAAAAAAAAAATTACTCACTTCAATGTGTATGTTAAGAGTGATACAATAATTTAAACTTTATTCAACAATGAATAAAAATAAATATATATAATCTACAAAAATATAAAGTGTAGACAGATTTTTTTTTGTTTCTTTAAATTGATCTGTACTTACATAAGTCATGAAGCATTCACTGAAGCACCAACAACTCAATTCAACAGTAATGTCAGGCCAAATCCTAACCACACCACAGAGGTATGACAATAGGATTCAGTTAGGCATACAGTTCCAACACATCAGGCCACATCAGCCAGGAACGTAAAGAAAGTTTTCCTTTGTTCTTTAGTGTTGATCTAATTAGGTTCTGTCCCTGTATATTTAGCACAAGATAAACGATATGGGCTGATGCAATGCCAACTGTGACGTCATGTGACACAGGACAAAAAGGCCTTTTTGTCAAACAGGCCTTTTGAGTATATAAAGTCTTATTGTGACTGGAGACCATGGATTATGGGGTCAAAAACCAATTATTAGCTTCTTTTTCCGAGCTCGTACATGAACACACAGGCGTGTATGCACATTTAGTAACTATTATAATAATTAAGTTTAGCACTGAAAAAAATATTTCAGTTATTTTACATTACGGCTCTTTCAAACTGGGAAGCTTTGCCGGCCACAAGAATACGTCAAACTTTTGCTGTTAAGGTTGTAGCTTCCTAGTCTGAAAGGCCTTTTTAGGAATACTGGACCTGGTTCAACCCCCCACCCACACACACACACACACACAGTACAATAGTGCACACAGAGGCGTGTCATCAGATATGTCACTATTAGCATTGCATATTTAAAAGTTTAGCATGACATCCTCCATCCCTTCTCATTCATCGCCTTCATTCTCTAACTGGTTTCACTCACAGAAAACACTGACAATGTCAAGGCACTCTTGATAACAACTGAAGACACAAAGTTCAGAATGTAAAATACAACTTGTGTGAAAAACAACAGCATTCCTTATTTTACAAAGGAAGAAAACAATTAAATAAAGGGACAAATACTGTATACGCATTAGTCATGAGAAACAAAAAAAACATTTTGCAGGTGTGACAACATTAAGATAATCTGGTTAACATACTCCGGCTGAGCTTCATCTAATCCAATAGTTAAGTAATTTGGATTTAATTATCCAGTGATTATATTAGATATCTTAAAATAACTGTAAGTGATTTATAATTACTACAGCACAATCAACATGTGTAAAGGCATCCTTATGTTATTTGAAACATTAGACTGCTTAGTTAAATAAATTCTTAATAGCTTAGTTACACTGTATGCCACCTTCTTGAATTTAAACAGTGTCAATAAATAAACCATGACAAATGCAAGTAGATGCTCAAATTACAAGTTTAGGTGTGATCACATAAATCTCTAAACACCATACTTTGGTGTCAGACAGCACAAACACAACACACACAAACACAGCAAATTTAGTGACCAAAGTGTGTGGTTAGAATAGTTGAGAAATACCTGGACAAAGGTTATTGTGGTGAAAAAACATGTATAACTGGCAGGAAGTTTAGTGAAAGACTTGGCAATTGAACAACGCTGATTTTTATGTGTTCTCTGGAAGGCCGGATATACAGAATGCAAAGCCTTAAAAGTACCAAAATCTGCTTTTTAAGTGATCTTAAAGTAACTTTTAGTGAATGCATAGTCATGTCTTGGACAGTGGGTTGATTTCTAGGGTATTGTTTCCATCATATGTTTATATTTACAATGGATGCATAACCAAACGTATGTGTCCTTGCATGAGCAAGAGAGGAGAACAACATTCAAGTGTTAAACAAGTTTCCAAATCAACTGTAGGTACAAATAGCTATTTAATTAATTGATTTTATAACAATTACGTAAAATCCAATAGAATTTATGTTTGTTGGACTCAAAGTTCAGTATTATCATGCCATGCTTATGCTGTACACACAGCTAGTAAGACTTTTTAAAGGCCACATGCAGGTTTCAGAACATTAGTCTTAGAACAAGAATAATTGTGTTGTGTGGTCAATATCAGATAGACTATATTAATTATATTGGCAAAATTATGAAAATACCTGCAAATACATACCTGTTTAAATCTGTCTACTTTAAAAGGAAGACTGAAAAAATACAATTTGACATCACTGTGAATTACAAAACAGGATTACAAGAACCAGCACAATTGCAGGTAGAATACACAAGGTGACATGGTTGTACGGTATACAGTGACATCGGAATAACCTGAGGGCTGCCCCAAATACTGGATATCATAATCAATAAATTGTAGACTGCCAGAAACTGAACGCAGTCACATTTTCAGAAAATGTGCCTCTCAGGGATCTATACATATTTATGAACGATGACATGAAATCTGCCAATGGTTTTCCAGGAAAATTAACAAATCGTTTGAAGCAATGAATTAACAAGAATCCCTGTCAACACAGTTTTATGTGTGCCCAGCCACGGAGGTTGACTGGTACGAGGCAGCCCTCAGTCATTCATTAACACATAAATGTTGCAAAACAACTGATAAATGATAACAGTTGAAATAAATCAGTAACTTAATATACGTAAATGTTGCAATGTCTGTTCCCTGGTGACCTAAAGCCCTCAATATGCATAAAGTCAGTAAGCTGCCCAGATATTACTCCTTTGACAGATGTAAATAAATGAGCTATCTTTAACCTGCAGCTGATGATGCAAACCTTCAGCCTGTAGGTCTTATTTCGTCATATAGAATGACATCATAGTCCGATAAAGTATCTTTTACATAACTTGTCAACATGCTGTGATCTGTTATCACACTCACATCTTTCATGATTGTATAATTACTGTACAGACCACAGTATGATACGTCTAACTGTAGCTCACTATAATCTCTAATGCCTTTCTTGCAATATATTGGTATATCTTCCGTTCTGCAACACTTCTGCAGAACGACTGCACAAATAAAAAAAAAAACATGACAGAGGGTGATAAAAATAATAGTAAAGACTCAAAAAACCCTTTTGTGCAAACTGAAAACAGTCCAGATTTTGGTTAAAACAAAATCTTTGTGCAGCAATAACGCGGGACAATGGAAGACGGTACAGTATATCTGATAGTTGATAATTCGTCAGACAACACGCAACAGCATTTAGAAATAGGTTTTACTTATGTGACAAGCTTGCATAAATAATTTTGGAGATGTCAGGCTTACAACATATTTCCATTCTGTAAACTCTTTGGCATCCAGTTAGGACTCTACTGACCACTGTCCATCCTTGTAAACAATCCTTACCAAGTAACACTCATAAAAAACCACGTTCATCCAGTCCTTTGGCTGTCACTGGGTTCCATTTTGCAGTAGGTTTATTGCTATTATGGCCTGTACAGAAACAAAAAGAAAAATCTTGTTTAAATTATCTTTTATGGTTCATCCTGTGTGTACATTTAAACCACGACAGTAAAAAAAAGAAAATACTGGTGAAATAGTAATTTGTCTTGAAATTAATTGAGGAACTATTAATAGATTCAAAATAACCAGACAGGAATGTCTTTTTTTAGCAGCACATTTAATACCTAACAGATCAGGGTAATTCATCACATGGAAGCAGAAATCATCAAAAATAAAGATTTGCCATATAGTCCTGCTGATTGATTTGCAACATTGACAGTTGAATTTTTATTATCTCACAGTATATACAGTTTAATGTCAGAATGGTTAGCCCTACATTCAGGTTTGTAAGCTTGTCGAGAGAGGCTTACTTGTTTCAGGTCTGGCTTTTGGCACATCTTGTGAGTATGTGTCAGTGGGGAGTGTGTGGCTGGTATCTCTGCGCTCAGTCACAACCACTGTCCGTGGCACCGTGGCAGAGAGGACAAGAGGCCTCTGGTTGTGGTACTTGAGACGGTATGTTTCCGTCATACAGTTATCCACATTGAAGTATGTTGTCAGAGAAACCTCTTGAGCTGGCGCTGCCTGTTCCACTCTGCACCCAGTTAGTCTTTCCTCACTGTCGCATGATGATGGGGTACTCCTCTCTGGGTCAGAGCCCGACTTGGAGCTTGCATCTGAGAAAGTTCTGAGGCCTGAAATGTCAGGCTTCCTGTGAGGACTGACATAGGAAGTAGATGAAAGACGAGGACTCGATGGAAAGGGTTCTTGAAGCATCCTCGGACGAAACACCGCATGGCTTGTTTCACCCTGGTGTGGAGAGATCCGCTGTGTCGGTCGAAGGTGAGGCGACCCTGTTGTGCCAAGCTGACGCTGATTGTTCATTTGGAGAGGTTCTGCCGTCACGTTGCTGGGAGGGTGGTATGGCAGGGTTATGTGAGGACACTGGGATTCAGAGGCGACGGCCTCGCTATTGCTGGAGCGGTACGTGTTTTCTCTGTCTTCGGGCTCAGAGAGAGCGAGATCATCAGAACTGTTCCATTCTGAGCTGCTGGTTTTTGTAATGTGCCTCAGGGCTGTACTTTCTCCAGCGTGCCCTCTACAGTTTGTCAGCTCCTGCTGTTCACTCTGCCTGTTATCTGAACCAGTGGAGTCTCTCTCTGAAGAGACTGCTTTTCTGGAGGTACTAGAAGTGTACTTTGATTTCCGTCTACAAAAGAGAAGTGTTGTAAAGAATGATGGAAATGAATCATCCTTAAATATAAAGGAAATCCAATTTATGAGTGCTTTTGTGCGCATTAGAACAAGTTATATATAATTTATAATAAAGAGCACTACCTCGAACTTGGACTGCACTTTAGATTTGAATGTGAAACTTGGTCATGGTTCTTTCCCTGAGGTTTGGGTGGATGTTTTCCTATAAAATATAAAACAAAGGTGATCAAAACATAGTGACAGAAAAAAGACAAACAAAAAAAAAATAGCACAAAGGCCTGCTCTATTGTGGCAGCACGCAACAATTTACATCCTGTCATTACTTAAGAAGGTAATGTATTTTTATCTTCTGACCTTTCCTACTCTTTAGAGTTTGTTATGCAGAACATATTTAAATGCACACAACTATTGTGCACTACAAACAAAATGATCACAACAGAATCAGAATGTAGACTTTTTTTAAAACTATGTCAGAAGATAAGAAGCTCAAGAATTGAAAAAATCAGAATACAGCCAATGAGAATACAAGAAGGACGATTTGAGCCTTGTGTTTTCTCTGAATTTCTAGATTGAATTCAGAATCCTGAAAACAGTCAGAATTCTGATAAATCACAGATTTCAGACTTTAATTTCATAATTCAGGTTCTTTTTCTCTGAATTACAAGATTAATGTCAGAGCTCAAACATTTTGTTTTATTTACCCATGATCTTCTTCCCTAATTATGAACTTGGCAGATACAGACACACACGTACAATAAAACAAAATGACTCAAAAGTAGAGACCAAGCAGAGACAAAATCATCTACACATCTGACTATGTAACTGGTGTTCTCTCAGGACACAAGATGGCAGCAAGAGAGCGTTAATCTCTCTAGACTTTCTCACAGCTGGATGAGCCAGTCAGCACACTCCATGCACCAGCACAGCGAGAGGCAGTGTGGTGCTGAATTCCTTCTCTTTAAAAATAGATGTGTCATTTTTTTTTTCCTTTGCTGTTGCCCTGGAGAGGTCCATGCAAGGATAAAAGCTTTAACTGTTGGTTGGAAACACTGGCTTGAGATGCACATAGCCTCGATAAAGTATCAAGTGCAGCACACTCAAAGTACTGCATGAAACAGAACGATATTTATGACAATGCCAGAAGCCATGTCCAGCTGTGCTATCTGAATGAGCTTTGTGGGATTATCATCAGATTAATGCCTGTGCAGGGCTGACTGGGTGAAGAGGTTAAAGAAGCCAGTCCAAGCTCAGAAATCCATCCAAGGACATGAATCAATCTTCAATTACTCTCACATTATCAGAGACAGCTCACAGTTACACTAACAGAACTATAGACAAAGAAAGAAAGAAAGAAAG